CATTTGCACACATAGGAAAATTTGAAAAATTAAGCAGAAAAAGAAACGATTTAGATTTAGAAAAAACCCATTAGTTACATGGAATTAACTTTGACAAGCATAAATTAGGAAGAAGCAAAAGAGGCACTTATTCTCTTGATACAACCTAGTAGAATTGGGAGCCACCTAAGGCTAGCAACGCGATTTACTGTTTGGGGCCCTAAATACAAATATCACTTAGAATCTACGTTGAGATGAAGCAAAAAGGGATTGAAACTCTAAAAAGGCAAAGAGTTTCCCCTCTCCCAGCTGATACAGTGCACGCCATTAATGTGTAGTCTACAATGTAACTGCCGGTATAGAATGTTACGAACATGGCGTGCTCGAGCTCATGATCTCGCAACATGTCTGATTCTCTGCAGTCCGTGCACTAGTTCACCTCGCCCCTGTCGCGATGTCGCAACATCGCGAACCTCGTAACATCCTCGCATTCTTCTAACAACGCGCCGATGTTGCGAGGTGTTCGCAGCGCGTCAGGCTCGCATGTTAAGAGATACGGCACAGTGCGAGATAGCTGATCTGGCGCGAGCCCGCTCGTCACATGTTGCGACCTTGATGTCGTAACATACAGGGAGTTTACTACCTCCCCTTGTTTTTTCAACAAAAAAAGCGCAATTTTAATTTGGCTCAAGGCTAAACGGCTAGGCACCTTAGCTCGGACACGAAGCGAACGTATAACGTGGACTACTCTTGAAAGGTGTTTGCTCAGCAAAGCAAATGCCTCTCCTGTCTTCTGGACGATTAGAGCAACTTTCATTTGCGATTTAACCATGTCGTTACCGATGTGATCCATTACCGTAAAACCTAGAGTCCGCAGCATCCTAGTCCCCATGACCAAGCTTGTTCTCTTCTTTTCGCGTGCTCGGCAACATCACTGCCATACGGTGCTGCCGGACGGATCACACTACGACACACCAGTGTTGTAAGATGTAACGGCATTCGTTTGTCACACAGTATGCCTGTCAAGCTCCACCACTTCATCCAGGCTGCACATGTTCTGACCACAAATCGCCTTCGATTTTCCTTCCGCGGATTGTGGCTTTCCAAGTTTTGAACGACTTCAATTTCTTTATGGCTCACACTGTGCATATGGTTCTAGGATTTTCCTCCATAGATTCTGCTTTTTCGCGTTGAGCTTCAAACCGTGCAACTTAACGAACTCCGACTTGATGCGGAACACTTTTGAGCGGTCGGCTGGTCTGCCCATGACCGGTGGCTACATGGTGGTAAACATTTTTATCCCTTCAATATATTCTTCCGAGAGTGTTTAGCGCCCATCATATAACGCTATAAGGCACCTTGTCGAATGCTTTTTTTAAGTCCAGGAAAGTCGCATGCAACCCTTTCTGCTTTTCCGTATGCCTTTTCATCGTTATACAGGCAGCATGGATGGCCTAGTAAAACCCTTTACAAGCCGCACTTACTCGGCGACAACTCGACAATTTTTCGAAATCTTCTCGAATAATCTTTCGAAGACCTTCAGAGTGTGACTCATCAGCCGGATTGGTCGGCATGGTGTACAATCTGCGACATCACCTTCTTCTTTATTGGGATCGTTGTACTGAGCGATCTCATCCAGAAAGGCATTTTCTTAGCTTTGATGACCTGATTGGAATCCCGTGAGCTGCCAGCTGTCCATACACTCGCTGGGGATATCATTTGGACCAGTCGCCTTGCCATTCTTGCCTTGTTTATTGCAATCCAGACTTTCTCTTCTATGATTTATGGCACTGGCACTTCTAGGATCACCTGAGGCGATGATGCTAACAGTTGGCTCTGTGAAGGCTATCTCTTCGGAGTAAGTCCACCATCTTTCCATGATGTCCCGCCTTTTCAAAGCTCTTCCAAGCTTCTCTTTGATTCAGAAGCGCTCCATATATTTTGCGGAATTTTCTCTCCTTTTCGTAATTCAATTTCTCAATATATTTCGGATTTCCGTTTTTTTACAACTTCCTGTGTAAGCCTATCCAGCTTTCTTCACATAAGCTTTTGTCTGTGCTTTGCCTGCCGGTATTTCTAGCAATGCTCTTCCTACTTCGATTCATGCCACTATTTGTATACACACCTCTTGTCTATCACTACTTCATCATTCACCAATAGCTCTCCCTATTTGTTCTTGATTTTCCTGGTTTTGTAACACGGAAAATTTCTTCCTTCTAGTGGACACTGGTGTTTAGGGCTGATCAAGCTTGCTCCGACCTTACGTGTAATTGTGCTAGAGTTTTACCAGTGCGTCCCTGGCCATAGTTTTCTCTTTTACTTTCCCATTTGATGCAACGTATGTTTGTGCCGGTTCTTTTCCTTAGACTATCAGCTGGCATTTTGAAGTCGAGAGTTAGAGGTTTGTTTTTACACACTTGAGCTCGTTTTGCCTTATCGCCCAAAAATCTATTTGTTCTTCTGTCTTCAGTCGAATGCGTCATGAGATGATCCTTTTCGATGTAGTAATTGTTCGCCAACGCCAGGTCGTAAACTGTAGCAAGCTTGAGAATGCGTTCGCCTTCTTCACTGCATGTTCCATATCCGTGGTTCCCGCGACACTTTCCTGCACCACGCTTTTCTCCGACATGTTCGGTCTCCTGGAGTATCTCGTTTTGTGCTACTGATCTGATATGATTATCGAGCTCCTGCTAGAAGTCTTCACTTTGCTTTTCCCAGATAGATCTTTAGGCTCATAAGTCGGTCGTTTTCTCGTTCAACTCCATCTACTGCGCTTCTCAGAGCTTTAAAGACAGTTATACCAACATCGTTTTTACTGCCCCGATGTCGCGTGACTTCCAGTCTTTCCATTTCATTTCTTGCAAGCAGGCTATACCCTCGTCTTCTTTTCAAAAGATCTGCCAGCCCACGGTGTCGTCCAGTGAGGATTCTCACATTGATTGTGACTAATCGGAGTTCTAGTTTCTTAGGGATGCCTTGGCAGAGCTTTCTTACGAGTCTTCGCTCGTAAGACCGTGGCCTTTGCCCATTTTTCGCATCCGTCGGGCTGGTACACATCTCTTCCGGAAGTCGCCTTATTTACTTGAAACTCATTGTTAGACATTGGTTTGGTTGCATGCGAGTTGTGTTTCTCATTCGGCTTGTCGCAGGACCTTTTCAAGAAAAAGCCTTACGCTTGGATCCCGCGAAGCAAATGTCCTCGAGGGAGCCCACCGACCAGATGTTGACGTGTTTGTTGCACGGATGACTAGCTGAATTCTTAGCTGGAAACAATTTATGGACCTAGACCTTCCGAACGTCGCCGCCGCAATTTAATATCAACATCATGGATGACGCTAGCGAGAGACAAAAATGGATGGCAATGCTGGGGCCTGAACTACGAGTGAAGACTGGCCGTCTAAGTAACTAAGTATATGTATATATAGTCGGTTCCCAGGCGTATTCTAGG